ATACATGTAGCTCATTCAATTTGTGTCTTTCCTAATGTCTAGTAAGCAAATTCAGTTAAAATTATCAAATCAAATGGACAAATCAGGAATACTTCTTTCATAAAAAAAAGTCTAGATTCATATTTTAAATAAGCTGGTGTACTTTCATCCCTCTGATAACCATCTCACTGTCAAATTCCAAGATAAATCAATACCTACATAGTGTATTAGTGTTCTCATTACTGGAACATAATAACAGACACAATTTACAAGAAGAAGGGCTTAATTTGGTTTATGTTTTGTGGGATTTAGTCCATATTCTCTTGGCTCCAAAGTGGAAACAACATGGCGGGAAGTGATGGTGGAGGACAGCTGTTTGCCTTGGGGCAGGCAGGAAGCAGAGAGAGGGTAGGAGCTGGGGAGGGCAATGTGTTTGTCAAAGGCACGCCTTCCCGGTGACACACCTCTTCCCACCAGGCCCCACTCCTAGCATCACATTTAGTTATAAATTCATCAGTGGACCTGTTCACTGATGAGTATGGTTTTCCCGTGATAAAATCACCTTCCAAAAACCCCACCTTTGAACACACGAGACTTTTGACAGACATTCTAGATATAAACCATGACAGGCAGGTACGATATAGATCCTTAAGATGGGGTTGTCCCTTAAATAAAGTATTGTTAATTCAATGCTTCTTACAGATGATCTTTTTGCTTTGTTGACACTTCTCCAAGGAGTTATATATCCTCAAAATAGTTTTACGTTTAGTTCCTCAAAGATTTTATACCCTGAACAATGCATGATAAAAGACTGGTGAGAGGTATGATTTTCTTTCGTGAAAGAGGAGAAGTGAAGGGAGAGGAGGTGAAGGAGAAGTTTGAACCTCAGACATGTACCTTTTGGGAGAAAGTACACATAAAAGTAGGGATTTGGGAAAATGATTCTCTTAAAACTATACATTTCCAATTTCATATTCCCACATCCCCCGCTGGAAATATTTTAAATGTATTGTCAAGGATGTTATTCCCAGAGTTTGAAAATGCTGGTATAGATGGTGACCTGACATGTGGTTAGAAAGGTCTGTTCCACTATGCTTCAACTCTCTTTTAAGCACTTAGAGTGGCATAAATTCCTCTTCTACTGATGATGTTGTAACCATTGGGAGATGCTATAGCATACTGCCCGCATTCTATCTCTAGGGTTAATACTCCCACTCTGTGATTTATCATTATCTGTCCTTTTAAGAAATATTGCTCACCTTTCTACTCATTTTAATATAAAAAACATGAAAGCTTACCAAACTTTTCTAAACTTTGATGCCCAAAACTATATAATGTTTATATTGTCAAGGATAAACTATCAACTTCAGTAATTTCCCTTACACTATAAAAAGCTGCATCTTATTGAATGTTTGCTGTACATTCCATACTTTAACTACCACTCCAAAGAAGCTATTGTTATAATCATTACTGTTAATCCAATTTTAAGGACAAGGAAATTGCATTAGAAAAGAACTAAATAACTAAAACAAAGTCACTTCATTCAGAGTCCTGTTTAGTGGCTGGCTGGTAGGTACGGTAGTTGATTTAGTAGTAACATGGCAATGTATCGGCATAGTGCTCTAGGTGCACAGGGAGCAAGAGTAGAGGAGATACTAAGATTAGGAAAAATGTTAGAATAGCTGCCTATTCTCTGGAAAAGTCCCTGTACATCTCAGAGGAGCCTGATATAGATCGTGCTGCATTGTTATCCATAATGAGCTGTCTAATATTGCAGTGCAGTTGTTTCCAAACTAGACTCTTCTCGACCTAAAAGAGAGCAGAGGTTCTCTTGACTGTTCTTGGGAAGAGATGAGCATAGTACTTCAGACAAACGTCTCTGGCTTTCTTTATTTATACGTTGTTACTGCAATCAAGAGAAGATAGAATTATTGATAAAAGTGGAAATAGAGTTGACACACACATACAGACAGAAAGACACAGAGACAGAGATTACTAGTCATGAAAAGAATACTAACGCTGGAATTAATTTGCCTGGATTTGTGCCCAGTGATATAGTTAGTAATATACTATTACTGAATGACTTAGGCATGGTTTTTAACAATTCTGAGCTTTGATTTCCTTATATACAGCCGGCACTCAAAGATTTTTGTTGAACAAATAAGTGAATGAGTGAATTGATGAATGAATTATTTTATATTTTGGGCAAAATAACACTGTCAGGTTGTAGTGAGAATCAGTGCTAATATAGAGAACTTGATAGAGCCTGGAATATAGTGGGCGCTTTAAATAATGATAATAGCTAGAATTATTGTCAGTGTTCTTGATTTGGTGATTTTTTGGGGGTTGATCTACAAGTGCCTGTTTGGCGTTTTTCTCTAAGCTAGACAGAGATCCTTCATAAAGCTTGGAAGCAAGTATTATATTTAGTTGAATACTTGGAACATGCCTGAATCCAAAAAGGCCTTTCTATCACAAGATAAGATTCTGAGAATCTCAGAAGTTTCTTCATTTTCTACTCTTAAGTAATGGGGCTTGAAAATTTCAGTGGCTAAAAAAGCAGCAACCTGCTGTACAGGAGAAATCTTGCCATTATGCCAGATGTGCCAAAATTAAATGACAACTCAGTGAGATCAAGATCCTGCAGCCCAAGAAGTGTTTGTGTTTCATCACCATTCCATAGATCAGAATCATACAGCCAGTGACATCCAAGTCTATGTGCCACACTCATCTTCTGCATAAGAAAGAAATATGAATCTATAGCTTATTCTTTATGAAAAGGAAAGGAGGTCTGTTGAGTTTTGAACTTGAAACTTTATGTCTTCAATGTACCTAAATCATTACCAGTTAAATACCATTATCTTCTGAATCATATTCATCTGCTAGGGGATCTAAATTCTCTAGGGTAAGACCTTGTCTTTTCATAGGTTGTGTAAAATGGCACAGACACTTTTAGAATTCCTGATATATCAGATCGTTCTCCTTTGTCACAAAAGAGTAAGAACAGTGGCGGCCTCGTGACATGTCCTAAAAGCATGATGTGCCAGAAGAGTCTCATTACATACATATCACAATGCTGTTACACAAATTGTACAGCAACATTTCCCTCCAGAAAAGGTGTTCATGCCACCGAATCTGGAAAACAGACCAGTGAGAGTTAACTCTAATTATGTAAAGATTCTTTGCTTTTTAAGATAGCTTTCTTTTTTTCCGCTAAAGAATGTCTTTAAATAGCTAGAACTCTTTTTGGAGCATTTAAAATTGGATCTGCTTTACAAAATGTTGATGAGACTCGACTTTTCAAGAGCAAATACTGTGTGCAAAAATGACGCATTGCCTATCAGGTGTCACTAGAGAAGTTCAGTGTTCACAGTGAAATAAACAAAAAGGTTCATCGTTCCCTTCATCTGCCAAAGTCGGAATGCTGAAAAGTGGAAGTTGACTTTTACAGGAGTCAGATGACCTCATTCTCAGCAAGAAGGCCATGCTAGCATAGGGGTCATTGGCCATCTTTTCTGTGATTTTGGTAGGCAAGGACATCAGTTTGTAGTCTGAAGCAATTATGCATTGTTCAAATTCAGGTGTATTTAATTATTTAGCTTAAATAGTGATTCTTTTATTGACTTGGTTTGAAGAAGCCAATGATTTTTTTATTGAGGTGGTGGAGGTGCTGGCAATGGAACTTAGGGTCTTGCATATGCTATGCAAAGGCTGTGACAATGACCTATACCCCGAGTCCAGATGCCTTGTATTCAAATAAATGAAAACAGAATTTTGGCGAGATATGGTATATTTGTTCATCCATAAATAAGACATGACTAAAAAGGAAAAAAAAAAGGAGTAAAATAGGAATTTGGAGTAGAACTACATAGGAATACAAGTTCAGAAGGAGGGGCTCATTGCCCCACATTACAGATAACCTTTTTTTCTTCATATCAGACACACTTACTTCACAAGTACAGCACATAGGAGCAGATAAGTCGGCATCACTCATTCTTCCCATTTCTAATGAATTGCAGGAAAAGGCAGCAATGTATACTGCATTGTTCAATTTACCAACAAGTATTGTATGGGCACTTTCTAGACTCAAAGACAAGAAGGAAAGATAGGAAAGGGAAAAAAGAAGTGCACGTTTAATGACATCTAAGTGCCTTCAAGGATTTTACAATGCCTTCTATGTAATATTCCAAGCTGCCTTTTCCAGTTAAAAAAAGAGACGACTACTGTAATCAAATGCAGTATACCTATTTTTTCAAAGGGTTCTAAACCAATAGCTCACTAGTCCCCAACAGGGTTTAGGCAGGCTACTGAGAACCCTTCTCGAAATTCTGTCCTTTTTTGCTGAGAGGCTAGTCTTAATAGTGTAATACTATAAACAAGACAAAAACACTAAACACTTTAACAAATATTAGGGTCAGTGAAGGAGTACTTTTTAGCGTTACAATACTCAGAATTTTCATGGGACATTTGTTTCTGCACTCTAAGAAATTTTGTGTAAACTGGTGTGTGCTATGTGTGTTCACGAGTGTGTAGACTCAGACGAGAAGCGATGTTTAACACATTGCATAGGTCTTCCGCCCGTAAATGTGAGAGAGAGCAGGATCGTGAATTAGGTGGAATGAAAGATAAATTGGATACTGGTGGAGATAAAAACAGTTAATTTAGATTGTTCGATTCATGTTTAGGTTTGTATTTCAGGTTTTGCCACACTTGTGCTGACAAATGTCCCTGCCACCTCTAATGCACGCAGTTTATGTTCAGAACACGGGGCAGCACGAACAAGATTTGGGGGTGCAGGGACCCGCATTAGTCATCTGGGAGAAAGTCTGATCTGTCTACCCCGGGAAGAAGCTTGTGTAGGGTGCAAAAATATGTTCCTGGGATCACCTGGGAGAGGGTTGAGGATGAGAAATCCGACAACGGAAGAACTCGCCTTTCCTCAGCGAAGGAGTGTGGAAGGTGGGTCGCTGGTAGGGTGGGGTGGGGGCGGGGAGGAGACGGGGTGGGAGTAGGAGTTGTTCCTTGTGGCCTCCGGGCTGGAGACGGACGAGCGGGGAACCGGGAACGCGCAAAGCACAGACCGCTGTGCCAGAATAAGGTGTTGGGGTATGAGGGTGGGTGGGGGCCTGAGGGGTGGCTTGGAGCCCTGGCGGTGGCTGTCTGACGTCACCGGCCTCTCTGGCAATAGGCTGGGAGCTGAGCTCCCTGAAGCAGCGGCGAAGGCAGCGGCGGCGGCAGCGCGCCTTGCTCTCTGGCCCCTTCACTCGGCGCCTTCTGCAGCCGCCACTGCAGCCGCGCGGCGGGGGCTCCCTCCCTGCAGCCCGCTGGCGGCTCCAGGTAAGAGACGCCGAGCAGCCAGAGGCTTCGCTGGCCCGTGGGCTCGGCGGCGGGGTGCGGCGGGGAGGCAGGGAGGACAGGTCGCGAGGCCTGCGCGGGCTGACACCCCTGCACACGGCTTGGGCCCCCTGCCCGCCTTGCGCGCCGCCTCGCAGCTCCGCAGTGCAACAGTTTGCAGCTGCCTCCTGGGAGCGGCGAGGAGGCTGTGCGGCGTGCGGCGGGTCCACCTGCTGGGTCCGCGCACACAGCCTCGGGCCCCGCGGGCGGCGTCCGGGAAGGCCGAAGAGGGTTTGTTCCCCGAACTTTGCAGGCGGGGACCCTCCCCTTCCAGCTCCAGGTCCCTGAGAAAGAAGCAGGTTACCGTCCGCGGGGGAGGCGGGGGTGCGGGCAAAGGGGAGCAGGGGGCGTTTGCGGGAATGTGCCTCGGCGGGGAAAGGTGGTGCAGCTGCCTCCTTTTTGGGTTGGGGGAGGTGCCAGCGCAGAAGCTGGAGAAAGGACAGGGCACGACCCTGCGCGCCGGCCGCGGCTGTGGACCGAGGCAGACAGGGACGTGGTGGCAGGACAGACCTCCTGGGAGCGGGACCTGAGTGGTCCGACGCGTCCGGGGAGGACAGGGAAGGAGAACTGCGCCCCGGAGCCGGATCGGAGGCTCGGAGTGGGTGCTAGGATCCAGGCGCAGGCTCGGGATTGAGGAGAGTCTGTGCTCCGGGCAGCGGGGAACGTCACCGAGGCAGCTTCCGGGTCCGTTGCAATTAGAAAGTTGTGACGGGCGCCGGGAGGCTCCCTTATGTGCTGAGTAATCTGCACCTGCCGGGTGCTGGCCTGGACCCCTTCGCAGAGAGCGTCGGGAGACGGCAGCCGCCGCTCTGGTGCGCTGGGGGAGCGGCGGGGCTGGGGTCCGCGGACTGCGCAGAAGACCGACAGCGCCCAATTCGGGCAGCGCGCCCAGGGCCGCGCTGCGGTGGTGGCTTCTTCTCCTTGTCCTCCGCGCTCGCCTGGGCAGCGACTGGGACCCTAACCAAGCCTGTTCTCTTTGCAGCCCTGTGCCTCTGCGAAGGAGAGGGGCTCCTGGAGACTGGCTCGAGGCGACACCGGAGAAGATCTCCCCACCCTGGCAGTGTCTTCCTCGGTCCTCGGCTCGCGTGCGCACGCCCTCCCGCGCAGGGAGTAGTTTTGGGTGGCGTGGGCTCGGTCCTCTTCCTGGCTGGTGGGAACGGTGTGTCCAAGAGAGGAAGCCTGGTGGGCCCGGCCCCTCCCAGCCCAGCGCCGATGAGTGCCCGGGCACCGAAGGAGCTGAGGCTGGCGCTGCCGCCGTGTCTCCTCAATCGGACCTTTGCTTCCCCCAACGACAGCGGCAGCGGCAGCACGGGCGCCCGCAGCGCCGGCGCCGGCGGTGGAGGAGGCGGCACCTGCATCACGCAGGTGGGACAGCAGCTCTTCCAGTCCTTCTCCTCTACGCTGGTGCTGATTGTCCTCGTCACCCTCATCTTCTGCCTCATCGTGCTGTCCCTGTCCACCTTCCACATCCACAAGCGTCGGATGAAGAAGAGAAAGATGCAGAGGGCTCAGGAGGAATACGAGAGGGATCATTGCAGCGGCAGCCGCGGCGGAGGGGGGCTGCCCCGGGCTGGTAGTCAGGGCCCGACTCAAGGAAAAGAGACCCGGCTGGAGAGGCAGCCCAAGGACTCCGCCTTCAGCGCCCCCTCCAACACCACTTCCTCCTCCTCCTCCTCCTCCTCCTCTTCGTCCCCTGGCCTTCCTCGCCAGGGTCCCTGTGCTCCTCCGCCTCCGCCGCCAGCCCCCAGTCCGCAAGGGGCGCACGCAACCTCCTCTTCTTTGGACACAGCTGGCGAGGGCCTTTTGCAAACGGTGGTACTGTCCTGATCGTGCAGCCCCTCTCCTCACCCCTGCCGCATTTCCAGCATCTTCGCCATCCTTGCTCTTCTTCCTCCTCCCTTCCTTTTCCAGTTCCCTCTGGCCTTTCTTTCCTCTTTCTCCTTTCCTCACCCCACTACCCGGTTTCTCCTCCGCCGAGGCACTGTGCGGTATTTGTAAATATTGGGCAAGGAAAGTCTCGGAAGAAGAAATAGTGCTGATAATACTTTATTAATATTTATAGTAATTATTATGATACTAATAACACAATCCAAGCGCATGACAAATCACATATTTTCTCATTGTCAATGAAGGATGCATCTTCCCTCTTCACCATATATCCCCCTCAGTACGGAGGAGAAACTGCACAAGCGACCAAATATATAAAAGGCTTTGAAACCTGGAGCGAAAGGAAGGGAGGGGGCCCGGTAATGTTGTATATAGCTGTCAAGTTAAGGTAACTTTCCTTCCCTCCTGCCGTCCGCCCCCAGCTGTCACTTTTCCTTTAGCTTCTCTCTCCTCCCCGTTTCTCACTCTCAGCCGGGCTCAAGCATATTATATTATAAAGAAAATTCTACACTAAGCACCAGGACTACAAAAGGCCACAGAGAAAGTCCCAGAAAAACGTTTAGGACAGGGACGGGTACCCCTCTCCAGGCAGCCATCTTCTCATTCCTTGGTTAACCATTACTTTTTCCAGGACTGAGCATTTTAGTTTAGTAAATGTCTCTCGCTGGCCGAGCATAATAAATACATTCAAATCTATAAATGAGTAAACAAAGAAAAACGAAACAAAAATCTACTGCTTTCCGCTCCCAGCCCAACCCACTTATACACCTTTTGACTTGTGGCATTTTCAGGAGAGGATCCGGGAGCTGTCCTGCAAGTTCTGGTGCTGAAATCGCCTCACAGTAATGGTTACTTCCTCTGATCGTGATAGCAGAGAAGGGGCTGTTTTGGAAAGTGACTATACTGGCTTTCAGTTGGGTTTTTTTTTTTTCTTCTTCTTTTTCTACAGTCAGATTAGCGTGTACTGTTGGTTTTCTTACTATTAAATGTTGCATAAGTTACCTTTTTTGTAAAAAAACAAAGTTCCTAGGTGATGTGCAGTACTGAAAGTGCAGTATCTAACCAACCAGAATGTTTGTGTTATTTTTAGAATGAATGCACCTTTGTTATATACTTACTATATTGGTACCAAATACAGGAGAAAACTATAGTTCTGTACTAAGTCCTCCAAACTGTATATTCTTATTCTTACTTTCCAGCTGTTGATATAATGGTTACCACTGGGTGAGGAACTCAGTGGTGCAGGCCTGGCTTCTGCTGTTTCCAGAAGTGTTCTTTTGTACCTTACTCTGTAGTAGACTGTTATAAAAAGATAACACATATGTTTTCCTTCTTCTTTTGCGAATAACAGAACAACCGCCACAACAGAAGACAAACAAATAATGGATGTGCAGGAATGCCATCTATTAAAATATGATTAATATTTAAACAGTGACTGTAGTTCTCCCTGCATGCAGTTAAGTTCCATCTGGAGGCAGTGGTGTGCGAGCTTGCTTGTACTGTATGTGTTTGGGGGCAAAACTGGTGGGGTGCGGGGCAATTTGGATGACAGGACATGCAAATTTCAAGAGAATGACATCCGCAAAAACTTATGGGGTAAAAATGTTTACACCTTGTGTCTGAGATACAGCAAAGGTGGGCCTTCCTTTATTAGTCTGGCTAGGCTAATTTCACTGAATACATAAAAAAAATTGCTGAGGAGAATATTTTGTTCTGTCTCCTAATGCCAGACCAGCCCATCTCTTTTAGAAATGGAGTCTGCCTATCATTATTTACCACTTTGTTTCCCTTGGATGGCTGGCAGAAGGGGCCAGAAGCATATTAAAACCTCAAGTAGATGCAGTGGCATCCTTTCTTGGGAACTAACTCTTTGACAGCTACTGAAGTTATCTGTAAAATGTATGAATGAGAATGATTTACAAAAAGCTTCATCAAAAAGAGTGCTTACTATGCTGCTGGGTGCAAGGCAACAGTGTCCCTAAAGTGTATCCCTCTAAGTAACTAGTAGCTAGTTGTTCTAGATTCTCTGTCTTGGTTCCGGGCATACATGTTCTTGGCCAGAGAAAATATTAACTGTGCTGTTTTTCGTCTATTAAATTGCCCAAGTTCAGTCTACATCTTTTATAAGGCTAATTTAATAAGCTTAATTTTACACCTATCAGATAGCTATTCATGTGCTTTCCTGAAGCACGGATCATCATGTAAACATCCTATGTTGTAATATCAGGAAGACCAGGTATAGTTTTTGGATACAAAATATGAAACAATGAACCAGATTCTCTCCAGTGCCTTCATCACTTCCTAATAAGTAAAAGAGTGCATTAACTCCCTCAAGACACTAGGGAGTCCATTTGTGCATTAGACCTCTACATCGTACATCCAGAATGACTAAGGCACTGTGAAGAGGAGAGTTCATTAATTTTTGTAGCTCACCCACATACAGCTGTAGCCCTTTAATACTTATTATAAAATGACTTTTGGAGCTGGGTGTAGAATAGAATCAAGAACCCCAAAGGGAGCATCCTCATTTCTAATGAGCTCTACTAAGATACATGGATATTATCCCCCCCTTTATTTGGTACACTTTTTACAGTGAATAATTTCCCATTTTATTAAAGCAATAACCTATTCAGTTGTGAGCAGTATTAGATGATGATTCCATTTTCTTGGTGCTGAAGCTATTCATGTGTTCTTGCCTTATGAATTATAGTGCATTTAAGGCATGCAATAATAATCCCTTTCCAAGGAACAGCCTGTAAACCCTGAAGGGTAATGTCCTATGTAGTTTTTTCCCAAATGAATAGAAGAAGCAAGAGATTTAAAAGAATAGTGTGTATTGTTTAAAAATCTTGATACCTCTAACCGTGGACATATATCTGTAATAGACTGATTTTTGTGCACCTTTAAATGTGTATGCCTTTCTCCATTAATTTATTATGGTTTAATATTTTAATACTGTCCTCTGAGAAGGTGATACAGTTTTTAAATCAAATTTCATATTGAGTTTAATATACTAAGAACCCTAGGCTTCTGGTGGTGTCACATGTGACTTTAATGAGGTAGAAAGAGAATTACATGAGATACTAGTAAGACAGCCCTCACACTAAATTGTTACAATAAGCACATATCCAAGCAGTTTATGTAAACTCTGTATAAAATACTGCTTCTTATAGAGCTCAGTTGTCTGTCCCAGGAGTTTGGGATGCTTCCAGTGGGAAATTTTGGTCTTCATTTATATGAAACAAAAGGCACTCTGGAAATAGCTAAATTTAAGGATTTTATTCACTGATGTCCAATCAAACTAATTGCTTCAAACCCCTATAGCTGTAGCTCAGCTTCTGCTCTTGCTATTCAGTATTAATAAGGTGGCATGCTTGATTCCTATTGTTTTTAAAAATGAGAAAATTGGAGAGAGAATGCCATTATGTCAACTGTATGGGACTCTGAATCTTAAAGATGTAGATGAATATAATCTTTAGAATTTATATACACCCATAGATATGTATTTATATATGCATACATTTTGTACAAATTTACAATGGACTTTTTGTATTCTCTTTTCTGTCATTACAAGAACGAGATGGAAACCAAATAGCTGTTCCATTCTCTTATCCAGAGAGGATACTGAGAAGTCAGGTATATGCATGCAATTATTTCTCTGAGGTCAAATCTGAATGACTTTTTCCTTATTTAATGAAAGGGGAGAGAGTCCTGGTTGGCTTTGGAAATTGGTAATTAGATAAGCTTCCTTTCCTATGCTAGTGACTCAAATGTAGCAATGATAATAAAGTTATGACCATATCAATGTAGTCCAACTATCTAGATGGAACACAACAATATCCAGAAGAGGGTTAGGGCCATCTAAATCACAAACTTGGACTGCAGTTCAATTTTTCATTTTAAACCTATATGTTGTGTAAGTACAGCTTATATCTGCATAGCTAAAGGTAAAATGAAAATGTGACCATTAATTTTTTAGTCTGATAAGTAATTTTTGGAAGATGTGGACAAATTATCTTTAAAAATCTTCTTTGGCATCTGACATTTCCATTTCTATTTGTATTTATTGAATTAATTGGTAATGGTTAAAAAGTTTATTTTTCCAATGTGCACACATACCCTTTAAATGGTTTGATGTGGATGACAGCTAAGCAATTACTAGCTGATATTATGTGAAAGTTATGGACTAAAGTAGAACAAGAACTTTAATATAATCTGGTTAGGCTCCTCAAAGTTAGTCATATGTGAATCTGGATTTTGAATTTTAATCTAAAAGCCACCTATTCTATTTTGGAACTGGTGATTGTGGCTTACAGATGCTTCAGTTCATAGAAGGATGAATTTCCCTATCTATATTAGGATATTTAATCATTGGGTTAAACAAATCTAATTCTGATTTTTTTCATTTATTTGATAATATTTGAGAAACAGCTTATATGGCTTGATATCAATACTTATCACTGTCACCAACCTAATAATGCAATTGGTGCCAGGCAAAAAATGCTTATGTGATAATATGAATTTAATTAGCTTTAATTGGTGACAACAATATACAAAGTGATCTTACCTGTTTGAGGCAGGGATTTTCCCTGAAATGTGTGATTGCATTGGGGTGTTTCTGTAGAGAGATTAATAACAACAGTGACAGCAACAGACTGATTTTTGAACTTGGGTATATCCAACAGGTAGAATAAAATAGATATTAGAATTCATGAAAATTTTGTTTTGCTTTTCTATCAATAAAAGAGTTTTCTTGTTAATTGGTCTTTGGACACTATTTCCTTATTAAATTGATTTATAATATAGTAGGATTATGAAATTAACCCTCAGATCCATTTTTCTAAAAGAAATTGTCATTTTCATACCTCATCTGCAAACAAGCTGCACCTAAGAAATGGACTGTATAAGAATTCTACTATAATCCAATAAACTGAGTCCAGTGTGATAATTTAGTACACCTGTGGACAACTACCCAGGCTCATAAGTTCATATGCTTAGGTTCTCAGAGTTTTTCTTTTTCTACCTGCATTTCTCTAATATAACCAGATGTGTGAAGTAGGGGTGTGCTTGATAGGAGTTTGTGTCATTGAGAAAAAAGAAAAATCTCATATTCACATAAATTCTGATGGCTTCTAGCTGAAGCTTGCTGAAAACCACTGGTCATGGACTCTCTGGATAAGAGCACGGGGTGCTCTTATCTTATCTAGTTTTAGCACTGACATTCACCATTGCAATTTTTAACCCTGGACCTCTACCCCCAGTCTCAAAGTCATCATCCACAAGAATCCATACATCCTGGCCCTGCCATCTCTAGGTTGAACAATACTCTTAAATGTTGCTCCCTTCTTGGACATGCAGGAACTTCTAGGTGCTTTGTGTTTTATGCAGCCAAAATTGAGAGGCATGGATTCCACTTCAGTACCAAGAATTGACTCACCACCTCAGCTCTACGACTTTTGCTTCATGGCAGATGGTACCAAGCATGGATTTTTTTGAAGTCATAGCCCCACACTGATGTATTTGAGGGAAGGCTTTCCATTTATCTCCAAAACTATTTAAATGTGATACATCAACTCTCTCATTGCTGACTCCTAACTGTATAAAGAAAAGGAGCACAAAAACCTACTTCACTTTTCTGCCTTGTCTCTTGAAAACAATTGTCCAAACTGCAAGAAGCAGGTATTCTCTTAATTGTGTTGACCTAAGACTCCTTCTCTTATGATTAGCTTTCCAGTTCTGCAGTGGACTTAGTCTCCTTGGTGCTATAAATTGTGTTTTCAACTCTTAATGGCCTTTAAACAGTGTTCAGGAAATTGAATGATAAACTTGACAATAAGGGACCTTAAACTGGAAGATATTTAAAAGATATTATGCAACCATAGTAAACCTTTATATTCCTGGAAATCTCACGTCTTCATGATTAGAGTCTTAACTGTCTTTTCCCAAGTGCTTGATAATTATCTTGCTTTTATTTGCCTATTAACACCCACCAATTGCTCCAAATTTAGCCGGGAAACATGGCTGCTGATTGAGTCTTTCACTTTAACTTCCTATATGGTCTCTAAGAAAGGACAGGTCCTTACCAATACTAGCTCATTACTACTCCCTGCTCCTCACTCTGTAGAATCTGCAGATTTTGTGGAGAAAATGCTTCCTTTGATCTGAGAAGAACTTCTAGTGTGCACTGAATAACAAAGGGGGTATAAATAGCTATCTGTACTTGAAGGAACCAGCTAGTATAGGTAGATTTTTCAGCTCATCCTCTAGTCATAGCCCTCTTTACTCCCAGGAAGTATATATTCTTTAACTTCAGCTATTTGGCTCAAGGATAGATATTAGCTTGATCTCACAAGACTAACATGGATTAATTCTCTGGACCCTTGGATCTCCCTGGGTGGACTAAATTTATAATATGTTATCTATGCATTCTCTTTCTGCTAATTCTTTAACTCCAAATGTCTTCTTTCAAATATACCATCTCTAAGTATATATGTCCCAGGTGTGAACTGATGCTAAGAGTATTGGTTCAACCTCTTTGAAAAGATGGATGTACTTTTCAGAGTTTTACAGATCAAGAAAAGGTATAACAATAACCTTTCTTGCTGGGCATGGTGGCACACTCCTGTAATCCCAGCACTGGGGAGGCTGAGGCAGGAGGATTGTTGTGAGTTTGAGGCCAGCCTAGGCTACAAAGTGAGCTTAATGCTAGCCTGAACTGCATAGGAAGACCCTATCTCAAAAAGAAAAAAAAAAAACCAAAAAACCAATAACCTTTCTTAACACTTCTTTTCTGCTTTATAGTATCTTCTATCTGCATTTGCAAATCCTCTTTTTCCTGGATCATAGCCTTGACTCAGAATTTTAATTTTGGTATAGGGGTTGTAAGCACTATACATTGTGTAAATTTTCTACCTATGAAATCCCTAACACCCTCAGAGAGCTCTCAAATTTCTCACTGCACTTAGGTGACAAAGATGCACTGGGATGACAAACATATTCATGCTCTACATACTATGCAAAGTAAATGTGGCTACTTTATTTTTCTGTAATTTATCTTATCCTCACAGAGATCTATTTGCTGGACAGTCCTTTTATAGAAATCCTCAAATTTTTAATGTTTTCTAAGCTGGTGTCAGGATATGATCTATATAATCTCATAAAGGTGGCAAAGAAAGATGAAGCTTCCACAGATGTTTCCAGTGTTAAAGGAATCTCTGCTGGGTAGGGATGGAGAGTGGACAGACTGATCCTGCTCCTCAACTGGTGACTGCTATGATAAAAACAGGTCTTTTCTGGTACCCACCAAGGCAGCCTAGGATCATGGATTTTGAGTAGACTCAAAATTTGAGTCTACTGTGGCATCTTTGTTGTAATAGCAGAGTTTGGCTGTCTTACCATGTTCCAAGCATCTCTGGGTCCCCTCAACTGGGATGAAAGTGTGTGGGTCCTCTCATATGTCCTATTCAGATGTTTGGAGACAGAAAACTCTATAGCTCACTACTGCCACCACTATCACCCCATTGGCACTACGTTTTTGTTAGGAAAAGTATAACAGCTCTCCCTAGTTAAGGTTTCTCCTAGTGGAAATAGGGCAGTTTGGTAAAGCACTTAATAGCCTCAGGGTCCTCAGGATCCCTGATCTTATTAGAATGCTTATTACTGGATCACCCTTCCAGTACCACTTTTTTGTGAATCAAGGGGCTTTGGGAGCAAGAGATTTAGCATTCATCCTCTTCAATCAATCTTTGACACTCCCATCCAGTCCCACAAAACTGTGCAGGAGTGGCACAGACAGACTTTTCTCTATGATGCCTGAAGTATTTCATTTGGTATGGAGAGGAAAGTACAGATTTGGGAGCCCTCTATGTTCTAAATGCCATTTCCTATACTCTGACTCCAACTTCACAGCTGGGCCTTAATGTGGAGGATACGGTGTAGAAGAGATTGACCCACAGATAAGTCAAGCCATATTGAGAGGTGGTTCGGAAATATTTTTTAGTTACCATTGTTTGCACATAGGGGATGATTTCCACTTGCATGTGTTTCAGTGACGACAGAAAGATGTCATCTCTTCCCTCTACTTCGCAGGGTAAAATGTCCCGATCGAGCTGTTAAGTAAGTTGCATAAGCAGTGAATAGTTTCTTGGTTCCAGTGGTGTATGTGGCGGGTCTTCGTCAAGCATGTTGAGATTATAGGTGTCTGCCTTTTTCCAGGGATGTGAGGAGGAAGTGGAAGTCACTAAGTTTCAAAGGGGAGAGTATCACCAGGGAGAAACACGATAAAGGAGAAGCTGGGAGACTTAGCTTTGTCTTGTGGGCTAGAGCTCTTTCCTTGAGGAGTGTACGGTTGGAACACATGGTGCTCGTGCCCTACACAAGGTAATGTGACCATGCTGTTGCAGGGTTATTGGCAGGGCTCACTCGAGTTAGTCCTGGCCTTAGACTCATAGGTAGCTTCATTCCGCTATTTCAGCAATGCTGCCTTCTTACAGACAGCTGGGAATTAGCTTGCAGCCTCCTCTGTTTGGCCACATTCCAAGAATTAATCTAGATATGACCACTGACTGTTATTGACTATTTTTAACTATTTGATGAAATTATTTCTTAGAACCTTTTACCTTTCACATTTGAGAGCTCATTCAGTCGTCAGATATTCATTGAGAGCCAGCTGTATGCTACACACCATTTTTGGTACCAGACACGCAGCAGTAAATAATGTAACTGAAGTGGCCTGCCCTCCTGGGGATTTAATTCTAGTGGAGGGAGACAACAAACTAGACACCTAAGTAAATTATGGAGTATGTTAATGGGAGAAAAGTGCTATAGGGAAAATACATCAGAAAAAGAGGAGTGTGCCAGGAAAGAGTATTAGATTTTTAAGTAGTGTGCTCAGAAAAAGACCTCACTGAGAAAGTGAGGTTACAGCAAAGACTCAAGGAAGTCATGAGAATATTTGGGTTAATTGGCTAAGGATTGTTTGGCTAGAAGGATTTTAAAAACACTTTTCACCAGGGGCTGGGGATTTAGCTCAGTGGCAAAGTGCCTGCCTGGCAAGCACAAGGTCTTGAGTTCGATTCCTAGTACTGGAAAAAAAGAAGAAAAAAAAACCACTTTTCACCAAGACCACCAATGTTATAAATGAAGAAACAGTGATTCTGATAGAGGAACGTAAGATATTTATGCTTGCTGAACACAGTGTCAGGTAATGACATTTCCACATTTTTTTTTTTTAAAAAAAAAAAAAAAAAAAAAAAAGAACACTAGCAACATACAAAGAACAAAACAAGGACATTAAAAATGGTACGGGATTTCAAACCAAATGATAAGGATTGACAGTGGTTGTTATACTACATGTCGTTATCTTCAAAGAAGTTGCTCAGAAGTGGTGAGGAGTGGTAACCTGGAGCCTTGAGGGATTTCTAGTCAAATTAACCCACAATTTTAATTCAAGATTGACTAAAAATGCATGGGATGATCAGGAAGGCTTTCCTAAGGGAGGTAGTATTTTAGCTCAGTTTTGAAGAGTGACGGGTTTAATAAAGAAGGAAAAGCATTTTAGAGGGAAGGAAACCATTCCCCAAAGCCTAAAGGCACCGAGTTGAGTACTATTATAGTGTTTATACTGGAGTGACATAATTCTGAAAAGCAGAAGTAAGCCAAATCGTAAAGGCCCTGCAACAAGCAGCATTAGAAGATACAAGGTGTGGCTGAAGCATAGGCAAATGTTTAAATTTTAAAATACCATTATGGTCAAAATCAC